AGTTTCCCTGCTTGTCTGCTGCAGCACCTGTTTTCCAGGTGTGACACCACATCTGGTGGCACCACCACCCCTACCACAGAGGCATGGGCAGCTTTGAGCGCGCCCGATTCAGCAGCGTTCCCTGCCAGCTGGGCACTTTGGGTGGCCACCCAGGGGAGAGTCAAACACCGCGCCCCCGCTGATTACACGCACATCCGCGTGTGCCTCGGGGCAGGTAACAAAACTTATTCCGCACCAGGACGGAAGGGAGCGAGGACGCCCCCCGTCAGGAGAACAGCCGGGCGGCGGTTTGCGCCAAGCCCGCCTTCCCCGCGCGAGCCCGGCAGGGGGCTGCAGGCCGCGGCGCCAGGCTGGGGCAGCTCCCGACCTGGAGGAAAGCCCCGGGGAGGTGTGAGGGCGGCGCCAGGCCCGAGAGCCGCCCCGCCCGGGCTAGTGCCAGCGGCGGCTCCCGGGGGCAGCGGGCCGGGTGGGGGGAGGGGTCCCGGCCTCGCACCTGCTTGTTGGCCTCATCGAAGAAGACGCAGTTGACGGGATTCGCCTTCTCGAAGTGCACGGGCCGCGCGCACAGCGCCAGGTAACAGCCGCTGCTCATGGCGGCGCGAGCACCCCCCCCCCGGCACGGATGCAGCAGGAGCGCCCGCTTCCGGCGCGCGCGCCCTTCTCTGGCACGTGACCCGGGAACAGCTGGTTCCGACAGGCCGGGACGGAGGGAGCCTGGAACTGACTGGAACCCCGCCCCCCTCCTTACGCGCGCGCCGTCTCCGCCCTGGGGGCCGGGGCACGAGGCCGCCCGAGGGCGGGTCCTTCCCCTGGCCACGCAGCTCCCCCCGCCCCTCCCGCTGAGAGTCCTGAGCGCCTGCCCCCCGCTCGCCTCGCCTCGGGCCTCCAGGCTCCTGCCGAGCTCGTCCCCTGCTTGGTTTGATTGCTCGGTTCCTCCTGTCCCTTTACAGCCCGCCGCTGCAGCGGACCCATCTGGTCCGGGGAAGCCTTCGGGTTCCGCCTTGTTCCAGAGCCCGTTCTGCCCAGCCAAAGATTAAGAACTACTGGGGCTAGGGGACCATCTGTTCTTAGGGTTTACACTGTGTCAATGGTACAGAAATGACTACACATGTACATCCAGTCCTTCTGCAGAAGGTAAACCCATCCTAGAAACAGGATGTACACAGTTGTCCATCAGTGATTCCACAACCAGTACAAATAGGCTGTCGAGAGTTAGCTGCAAAAAGCAGCAGAAAATAATACTGTCTGGAAAACGGTACATGGTTTGTTTTTAAATAAAAGAAGTATGCCTCTTGCTGCACCTGTTACATTTTGGTAGAGGGATCCTTGTTCTGCCCCTCTACAGAGTCAGATCTTTCTGGTCTTACATGCAGTACAGTTTCAGTCTGTTTCTAAAGTGATTTAGAAATTCCACCACCCCAGTGTAAATCCGGAACAGAATAAATCACTGGAAGAGAAGCATATAAGCACAATGCCATTTTGGCAGTTACTTCTATTAAGTAATGTTGAAATAACTGACTATAAATTTACCTAACTATAAGCTCAACTGTAAAAAAAAAAAAGTACATGAAAGTTCATGTCACAATAACTTATAACAAATATTGGTGGGAAAAGGGTATGAAAAGGAGACAAATTAAACTAAGTTTAAACAAAAAGACCTCATGCTATAACTCAAGAACTGCTGAAGTTATACTTGGTAAAAACAAAGCATGGAACCAGAAATTAATGAACCAAAATTGGTGTGTTGGACACTAGGCCTCACTGGTGGACAAAACAAGGGGATAGGCTATTCTATCCATCACTTTGTTTTTGGATCCTTAAAGAAAGACCTTATGGGAGCAGGTGGGGCAATAGAATAGAAGCTAGTAGTAGAGCAAGCTTCACCATCATGGCTGCCCATCCCCACATCTCATTTTTTCTAATTCCGAAGAGTGTTCTGGTCAAATCAAGTCAGAGAGAGATACAAGATTACATCATCATCCCCTCTACCAACTCCAACTGAATCCCCACCAACTACCTGAGAAGTAATAGGATTGGACTTTAACATCAGCAACAGCTCCAGCCTACCTCAACTAATTTTTTACTCAAAAGGAGAGTTATCATCTCTGCTATCATCCAACATGGGGTGGCCAACCTGTTACAGGCAAAGAGCCAAAATAATTGTGCATATAGCACAAAGAGCTGGGGGGGGGGGAAGAAGAGTTGTCGAGCAAAGAAAATAAAGAAGCCCCCCACTGCGTTTGATCGAGCAAAAAAAAGGGGGACTGCCCCTTTAAGAAACACAGTTAAAGTTTTTTTGGCCGCATGAGGCTCCTGCTGGCTGCCACCATCTTAAAGACGCCATTTTGAATGGCCACTACAGACAGCTACCCTACCCCGGTGAGCACAGGGAGCCAGGGGCTGTTTTCAGGGGTGCTGGGGCAACTTCTGTGGGGAGACCTACATGTGGCTCACGAGCCCCAGGTTGGCCACAACTGATCTAACAGATTCAAACATGGGTCTTTTTCTTTTAAAAACTCTCCAGTTAAAGGGAAAGGAAACAAAAATATTAGAATGAAAGCCTTTACATTTCCATTTCAAATACTTTGACCGATTCCCCTTCCTTTCTGGAGACTTGACCAGTTAAAAGAATTTTTCAATGGTGCATTGTGCCATAGTACTCAGCAGGGTGAAATCTCTGGAGTCAGGAACCTCATTTAACCAATCTATTGACCACTATTAAACAGTGTTATATTAACACTTTTGGCCCATTTATTCCATTTGAATACAACAGTAGGCAGAATGTAGTAAAAAAGCATTATAATCATGCTTTTCAGAAAGATGTGATTCTGTAATGGTATATTTTTGTGACCTATCGTGTTTGTTATATGCCTGGGGAATTCTGTGCCATTGCACAAGCATCATATTAACACCCTCTGCAGAATAACAACTCTAAGGCTCTGTTTAAACTGCCCCCTCTTGCGCAAAAAAAATGCAAATGAGACAAAGTGTGGAATATTGATACACCTCATTTGCACAATTAATGAGGCTCCATTTTTGCACAAAACTCCCCTCTTGCACAAGAGCCGTTCTTCCTCTTTTTTTCCCAGGAAGAACAGCTCTTGCACAAGAGGGGAGGTTTGCACAAAAAAGGCTTTTGCGCAAAAACGGAGCTTCATTAGTTATGCAAATGAGGCATGGTGATATTCCACACTTCGGCTCATTTGTATATTTTTTTGCACAAGAGGGGGCAGTCTAGACATAGCTTAATAGTCTCTCCCTTCCAAAAAACCTTGTTCATACCATACTACTTCTGTCAATACCCAACAATTGTCCAGGTTCACCCTCAGGCTCCTTCCTGGCAATTACTTCCCTCTCCCTCAGCTTCTTCCCCAAGCCTTTGCACTGCTGACTGACACTGGAAATAAGGTTCTGCATTGCACTTTAAAATTATTAATGCAAAATTTTGAATAGTCATGTTTACTAAGGAATCTATTTGTCAAAAGACTTTTCTTGAAACGTTTTGGTGTCTGTATACTTACATAGGTGTTGACAGCTATTTTGAAATAAAATTACCAAAATAATTGAAATTGGTGTGATATTGTGTTATTTTGACAAAATATGCACAATTTGAAATTGTGTAGAAAATTATTTTTGGTACAGAATTCACCTAGGAGTAATCAATGCTCTGGATCTTGGAAACAGAAGGAGGCAGCTAGCAATGGTCACTAAACCTTTGGAAACATCCGAGATTAGAGGCGAGATTACTCAAATCTTCTTAGGTGACTGATGAATTAGCCACCTGATTACGCTGCTTTGTATAATGATGCTGACACAGTTTAGTCCTGCCTTGAATACTAATTCCAAGTGACCTATTACTTACAAGGCTTTTAAGTTTAACTCAAGTCACTGTAATTGCTTTATGTTGTCCAGCACAAGAATATAGCCACAAGATCTCAAGTTTTTACTTCACCCTTAATTTTCCAGCAGGAAGAGCACCACTTTCACAGCACACTGTGAGAATGTCACACACAGCAACAAAATATCCAGCCTGTTAACAAGTAGCATTACACAAAGGGCAATAAAATATACAGAAAAGTATTTAGCTTCAAGATTTTCTATTTCGTACCATCCCATAAAATCAGTTCTAAATGCATTGTTTCACAGAAATAAAGCTTTTGTCAGACAAATTCTAGGAAAATCTAGATAGGATTAAAAGTTTATATATAAAATATAAAAGAAACCAAAGGTTGACATTTTGATTAGAAAGTATTTAAAGAAAACCCACAGGAGTTTTCTTGA